TAAAATTTTAACAGCTTTAGCATTAAAACAAAAAATATTTATTTCTTATTTCTTTCAATTGCAGAATGAAATAATATAAAATTCTTAGGAAAATAATATTGAAAGTTTTCCTTGATCCTATAGACTGGTATTGCTCCTTTTTTGGTCCAAGATGTGAGTACAGACAGGAAGCACAAAATATATTTTTCTAAATGAGTTCGAATTTTTTTTTCAAGTGCTGGCATTTCATGTATAGCTTTCAACTGTTTGTTTTTTGGACAGGATATTATAGTAACTTCCTACCATTTTAACTCATTTGAAATATATATGTATTTTGAAAGTCTTAATAGCCAAAGATAAAAATCAAGAATCATAGACACATTTCTAGCAGGAAATTTTAAAACCATACATGATTTTTGCCAGGAAATTCTATTCATTTTCAACAAACATCTTTGCAAATAAGACAGAATACACAATAAACAAAATATTTCTCCTAATATATATCACATATTAAATAGGTAGCAGTTATTACAATGCACAATATTCTTTACCTTTTCTAAATTATTTGGAAATACTTCATAATGTCAAGTAACAGCTCATTTATTTAGATTTAGATTTAGATGTTTTTAAAGTGATGATCTACTTTTAGCCAAGAAATTGCCTAAGTAAAATTATATGACTGTGACTAACACAGGGTGCTTTTGTTTTTAAAGGGAAAAAATACAGTTACCTACATTGTTGGGATGTATTTATAGAGCATTTTTATTGTTAAGTTATGCTTTTAGAGCTTTAGGAACATTTGAGAACAATAATCAGTGGTGTGTAATGGTATTGTTAGTGGAGCCTTTTCTATTGAATTTTCAAGATGTTGTAAAATGAGATTATGTGAGCAGCACCTCTGGACACTTTTTCCCATCATTGTGTTGGTATCAATCGCTGACTTCCACCATTTCTCCGGGTATTAAATAGAAACACTGGTTCCCACTGCCTTGATTGGAGGGTTTATAATACATGACAGAACTGATAACCTTAATGAGACTAAGCATTGTGATCTTATGAAAGCTAACTGAAACCTGCACTGCAGAGAGTATCTCTAAGACCTGAGAAGGTGCAAGAAAATGTTTTACTTTGATTTCTTATTTTGAGTGAATGCCTCTCTCCTCAGGCAAACTTGACCCAGAGAGACGGTGAGAAAATTCATCTTCTGCAGCTCTAGCCACAGCTGGGCAGAGGCATTCTCCTGGCAGAAGTAACCTTTGCCAGATGTCCATGTTAATGCCTTATTGCAGAAAGGGTGGCGCTTGATCACTTACTGCGCACGGACAGGTTGCCAGCACACACCGGATCAGTTTGCAATTGGCAGGGCTCTGCATGGCTGGAAATCCAAGTCTGTATAAAGAAGGGGTGTCTATTCCTGGCTCTGCCCCTGGAGTCATCTATAACTATGTAAAAAGCCTTATTACATTTGCTTCTCAATTTCACACACACACAAAAAGAAAATGAAATTTAACAATCAACCATTGACTCTCTTCTATAAGGAGTTATGAGGATCAGATATTAAAGTATCACCTAATCTGATATATTGAGGGTGGTATGCCAGTTTGTGGGACCTGGCGGCAGAGATCAACAGATCTGCAGCTGATTAATGACAGTTTAAAGATGTTTGCTAATCTTATCACCCTCACTGGTCATAGACAACCACCCATGATCAGAAGAACAGAAACTGCTTGCTCTTGATTCTTTACTTCCTGGACTGATCTTAAGAAAGCAGCTATCTGGAGAATGCTTCATCATTAGAGAAGTGCTGCCCGTCACTGACTTGCTTACCATACCTTATCACCTTTCATTTAATTTCTTTATTTACATTGACTTTTCTTCCAAATCTATTCAATCTACCCAATATTCTCATTGACTTAGAAGCATAATCCCTCCACTTCTACACATTCATGGATATTCTGGCCCAGTAATCTTTATTCTTCTCTCAATATAGATAATATAGGAGTTAGCATCCTTTAGTGGACCCACTGGAAGGACCACAACTCTATACCCATTTCTGTATTTTCCCAAACCCAACATCATCTTTCCACTACTTCAGATATAAGTAGCTGGTGATAACAAATGCATTACCTTACTTAAAATTGTATTTTCATTTTACTAGGTGATAGAGTTTTAATCCAAATAAATTGTGTGTGTGTGTGTGGGGGGATTTTTCCTAGGAAATGTTCTATGCTAAAGAGTAAAAGCACAATATAAGAATTTTCTGAAGAAAAATTTAGCTACTAAAAAGTTATAATGGATAGAGATAGCTTATTTTATTCTGATCATATATGAAGTATTATATTTAATTGTGAGCCTCTTATTTTAAGAAGTTTGCCAAATCATAAACTATTCAGATGAGTGTAACAGAATGGGGTAGAGGTCTGAAAATTAAATTGCATTAGGAATAATTAAAATGGATGTTTTGTGTGAAGAAAAGAAGACCTGGAAGATAGGCATCCATGAATATAATAGAACAATAGAATAGAATAGAATAATTGGACTTACTCAATATGGATCACAAGGACCAAATCACATAATTTGCAGGAAGAAAGATATGACTTCATGTATGGAATAAAATTCTATTCACTGCATCTGTTAAATGGGAATCTTCTTTATGACAGTGTCTGAGACAGATACCCAATGGTTGCAATGAAAGCCTTGCTCTAGCATATATTTTTTAAAGTAGATTATTGAAAGACAAGGGAAATACTTGTAAACTGCAGTCAGTGCAGTCACACTTCAGGGAAAATAAAATAGTATATGGCACCTCCTCTCTACCCTGTTCTCTCATAAACCATAAGATACCTATTCTCCCTTTCTCTAAGTCTGTTACATTCTTCTCTCTTCAAAGGAATGCATGATCCTTTGAGAGATTTCAGGCTTCTGTGACTCCATATTTTCAACTTGTATGCAGCTCTGTCTAGCCACAGGAACAACTCTATACCCATTTTTGTATTTTCCCAAACCCAACAGCATCTCTCCACTACTTCAGAGTCTTGTAGTTCACATTCTCCCAGTAGAATATTATCTAGTTAAACCTATTTACTTCAATTTTTTATGCCAAGTAGGTTGGGTCTACTAGTTACCAATATGGTCAAGACTTCCAGGTTAGTACTGAGACCGGAGGAGAGAATATGAAGAGATAATCAGTAGTATCTCTATAAGGTAAAAGTTAGCTCCTTCTTGCTGGAAGTCAACAGACACTGAATAATCATCCTACTGTACTTTTATATGAAGGCAATAGAGATACATTAGGAAGATTATCTATAAAACCCTTCCAACATTTTTATATTTCAATCTTAAAAATTTCAACAGAGTAAATAGATTTGGAGGAGAGAGAATTTTGCAAGCCTTTTGGTCATATGAAGTATATGATCACAATCATACTAACATTTACCCAACTAAGTATCTTCCGTCTTAGTGTATGTGTCCACCATTCAGCTCATGGATTTAGTCAAAAATCCAGAAGTCATTGTTGACTCCATCCTTTCCTTCACTTTCCAAATTCATCATTCAACAAGTCCTGGCAATTCCATCTCCTATACAAGCCCTTATTCTATGGAATTTTTCTTGTCTCTCTTTATGACACCTCAGCCCCAATTCACCATTTTTTCTCACATACAATATTTTAAACATTTGCAAAAGGTAATTCTAACATCATTCTACACACCGAAGCTAAAGAACTTCTCCAACCAACTCTGATCATGACATTTCCTGTTTAAAACAACACTTACTCTAATTTTAAAATCAAATCTACATAGTTTGGATCTTGTCAGTTTCTCTGGCCTCATCATATACCACATAGATCCTGGTTCTTAGAATAACAACTTCTCCATCTCCTCAAGAGCTTTGAACTTGCTACTTCCTCTACCAGGAACATTTTGTTCTACTACTCTTTCAGTGAATGCTGCCAACTCAGCCGTCACATTTAAATTATGCATTATTTCCTCAGGGACATCACCCTGCTCAATGTTGGCTCCCATAGCACATAATTATTAATCTTTTGCAACATCCATCTCAGGTGAACTCACTAGTCCTGTGTCTATCTTTCCCTCCAAAGTATAGGATCAATGAGGACAACTTCTGTTTTCAAGGCAAGATTAATGCTTGACATAAAATATGACTCAATACATATTTGTGGGAGAGAATGAATTAATGGCCAACCTAGATCAAATATCAGGCATTCTAAAGAGGTAAAATTCTAATTTTCTTACATTTTTTAGAGATGATGAGAGCTTTACACTTCTTGAGATCTCAAAATATGATTAAGAAAAGTAAGACTCTTTGTGAAAACTTATAAAATCAAGAACATATTTTTTTAAAGGGTTAGATTATTTTTCCACAGAAAATAAAAGCAACAAAAATCTTAATGTGAGTTATGGTTGGTAAAACTAAATATTGGCATTAAGGGATGTCAAATGCATATAAGCAGAAAAAAATAACAGATCTTAATTTTTTAAAAGAAATGTTATATATTAAGAGTTTAATACATGCCAGGCTGTGTTCTAGATGATTTAGATATAGATAAGTTGAAAAAAAATAGAAACTAATGTCTTCTCTCATGATGTTTACATTCTAGTAACACAGCAAGACTAATCAAATACACAAACACAGGAAAAAAAATGGAGACAATATCCACTGTGACTTGGCCAAAATTTTATAAAAACACTTAAGTATTTCTGAATTTGATCTACCAAATGATAGTGTTTTTTTAATTCTACCCATGGATTTCCTAGGACATCTTCTAGATATTGCAGAAAGACACAAAGGTGAGGCACTTTGATAAATGCAGAAGTTGATATAAGCTCTGTGGATTTACCACTACAGACATTTATGTTTAAATAGGTAAATATTACTTGAACTTTGTTAACTTAAATATTTCAAAACAGCAGAAAGGCTCTTATATCAGACATCAAATAGGTTTACAAGGAATAAATTAATTGTAGTAATTTTGCCCCTTTTTTATTTCCTGAAACACTCAGAATTTACAATGAACAGCAACGACAAGGCCAGTTGACAGAGAAACCTCAGAGACAGCTCCACAGTCCTCACAGGTCGGACTGGTCATGGGAATGCTGAGGATCCAGATGCTAAGAGTTAAAAGAAGCCACGGAAAATTGGGTGATATGATATCCTTTTTAACCCTTCATTCTGATTCTTAGGGGATTGTATGTTGGTGCAAAGCTGAACAATAGACTCTGCAAGAATGAAGTTCACAGTACAATAGTGTAGACAGAAATAAGGCCACTGAGGAGGAAGAAGGCTGCCTTCTGCCTTAAAATTAAAGCCAAATTTAACTCAAAATGATAATTCTGATTATAAAATCATGTTTGTATTGGTTCAGTCAGGGCCCAGGAATATTTTAACACAGGTCATCAATGTGATATCTGATAACACTAAGTTGTCAATAATGGACTTATGTATTCATTTTTACAAGTATTTATAGGACCCACACTGTTTATCAGACACAGTTCTAAGCAGTGAACCAAATAATATTGTGTGGAAGATGAACACAGAGTGAATAAGCAATCACATATCTACTATGTTGTGATGTCTGATGATGACCAGAGAAGCAGTAGGAGAAGAGAATGCAGGGTGGTGGCACTTACGATGAGGAGTGCAGATGTGGCCTGTCTGTTAAGGTGACATTTGTGCTACAGAAGGATAAGCCAGGAGAAGCATGGTCAGAGAGGAGGCTGGACAGGGAGCTGGGGTTCAGATGACAGAAACACCAAAGGCCATGATAAATTGGTGGTGTGGCCTGGACAAGAGTAATAATTGGCTGTGAAAATAGCCAAATTCAGGAGATAGGTGAATTGATGTGTGGATAGAAATAAAGATAAATAGATGATTGATTGATTGATTGATCCATCAACCTATCTATCTACCTACCTACTTAATTACTGTTGGATAGGATGCTGGCTGTTAATATCCAGCTCCCTTGACTTAATTCAGGGCTACTCTAAAGGGGCATTTCAGTTCCAGAGTTCCTCTTGTATCACTGACATCTTCGATGCAACTGCATAAAAGCTCAGTTATTCCTCTGTTCAATCTTGTTTCCTGTGCCCCTCCTCTGTACAGTGTCAATTTTAACAGCACCTTTCATAAACATCTTACATGAAAATCTCCAGAGTCTATTTCCCAGGAAACCTGGCACATGAACACTAGGACTGATCAAAGGATGCAGGATCAAAATGGGATTTTGGAGCTAGATCATGGATGGCCAATTAGTAATGGAGACCTCATGGAGAGTGTCTAAGGAGAACATTTAGGATCATTGGCTTGCATAGTGGGGCAACTGTTAAAGTTTTCACTAATTCTAAACTTGAATGGGATGCTGTGAAAGGCCTAAGATGTTCTCCAATTAGCCTCACCTCCTGGAATGCATGCTCTTGAGCAATTTCCTCCTTAAGGTGATCTATATACTTAATAGAAATTACCAAAGTGATGATGTATGACTTCTGAGGATAGGTTATTAACACGTTGAAATTTCTATCTTAGTATCTCAGGTCACTTTCTCCAGGTGCTGCTAACTGCCATGTCATAAGGACATTTAAGAGCAGCTTAAATGTCCTTATTTCTCTGTAGAGAAACCCTGAGGTCTAACTCAAAAGCTAGCCATGTGAGACTAGCTATTATAGCTCCAGTCAAACCTTTCTCATGAGCACAGATCTGGTCGAAATGTAACTCAACCCATGACAAACCCTGAACTAGAAACTGTCCAGCCCAACCAACCATTCCCTCATGACTGACCCAAGGAAGCTATGAGAGATAACAAATGTTTATTGCTATTTCAATTCACTAAATTGAGAGGGGCGGTAATTTGTTATGTAATAATAGATAACAAATATAGATACTGATGGAAAGGAATATACTAAAAGGTGCAATATATCACATTGAAGAAATAATGAAGAAGTGCTAATGATAAAGACTATCAAGACTATCAAATTTTATGTCTTCTAATGTCAGCTGTGTATGCAGTGGAGAAAGAAAATTAAAGGTTTTACAGAATTATTCACTACTTGAAGACTAAGTGACAACAAATGAAGAGCCTCTTAGCCCCTGCAGCTTTAGAGCAGAAAAAGCTGTGGACCAGATCAAGAACTTAATGAGTAACAAAGCCCCAAAAGAAATTCAATTTTCAAACATGGCAGTTCTATAATACCAGGGTCAGAGCCCTAGGTGTGAAGCAGTAAGACACCAAGACAGGTTGCGGATATCAGGGTAATTCCCTTAAAACATCTTGAATCCCTACATTCTCATGAAATCTTTGAATCTGCATAAGTGACCCACCCTCCCTGTTCAAAGCCAATACTTATCCTTTGTCTGAAAATGATGCAAAGTCCCTACTTTATAGAGCAACATCCCCCTTCCCGGATCTAACTTCCCAATTGGTCTTCTAATATAATAGCTGGAATGGAGTCTCCACACAAACCCAGTAAGGAAAGGGCCAGGGCCCGCTAAGGAAAGAACAAGTCTATGTTTCAAAATCACAACAGGGTCTAATCAACATGCACCAACAATAACAGGATGGTGGAAACAACGTTGGATAAAGAAGAATTTATTAATATGGGAGCACTCTATCACTATACAGGATTTTAATGCTCCAGCAAAGGAGCCGAGGAGATAGTGTCAATGTGCTTTTAGTATACTCTTAGATGTTTGTTGGAAATTAATGCCATTATAACTGAAATACACTTACAAAGATACTCTGGAAGACAAGAAAGAAAGAATCTTTATAAAACCAAGGAAAAAGGGACATAGTACAATACCTACATTTCATAAGACTGGAAAGCCCACTAGACTTTTTTGTAGGAAGGCCAAAAGATAATTTCCCAAGATAGTAAGGAGCTTGCACGTCAGAGGACAGAAGCATCACTGAGAACCTCTATGGTGAATATCCCAGATAGGTCAGGGCTAATAACAGAAGATACTTATACAGAACTCTCTGACAGCAGTGGGGGATAGAAGCTGGAATAATTACAGAAGTAAGGTAGAAACAATGGTTTCCAGGAGCAGAAGTGTTGGAGTGACAGCTCTGAGTATATCTAATAGTTATTAAAATGTTTGCTTTTTACCTTTTTCCAAATGAATGATAGAGGCTCTGATCTGGAAACTGAGTGAGGAATAGGCCCTGAAATATGGCAATAGACTATTAGAAACTCAATAGCAGCTCCAATTGTAGTTGCTAAACCAGAAATGACATGTTTGCTAGAGCAGATTAATGAAGTCCCAGACAGATTATATATAGCCACTAATCTGGTAAATGCATTTTTTATAGTCTAATTAGAAAAATCAGGAATGCTTCACATTTATTTAAGATAGACAAGAATAAGTAGGAAAAATCTTGCCCTCTAGTCTATTTTCCCTTTCCCATCCCCTATCATAATATAGTACAAAGGACCTGCACTGCATAAATATTCTTCATAAATTATATCAATCCCATATATAGATGAGGGCCTGTTATTTAACCTAAATGAACAAGAAATGACAAGGATGTTGGAGATCTTAGTAAAACACAAGTATTCTCAAAATGTGGGGGGTGGGTATAAATAAACCTAATAAAAAATTCAGAATTTCATATCACTGAAGATCTTTGGAGTATAGTTATCCCATCCAATATAAAGGACAAATTCTTGCACTGAATAACTCCCATCACTAAGAAAGAAGTAATATGTTTCTGGTGAGTCTCTCTGGGTTGTGGAGAGAGCATATTACACAATTAGGGATAGGTTACATGCTCACTGTGCCACATGACAGGAGACACTATGATATAGGAGGTATCAGTGGAAAGCAAAGATGCTATATGGCTTTTATGGAAAGTTCCAATGGAATATCACAACATCATTAGGTTGTGGAGCGAAGTCAGAGAATTGCAAATGAGAATTACATAATTTTTGGATACTAGTTCTTGGTTTGCTGCTAGACATCATATACACCAAAAGCATGATCATGGACTACCAAGTGACCTCATGGCCAAAACTTCCCATCATAAACTGGGCTCTTCCAGAGTCACTGAGTCATAAATTTGAATGAGTCTAGCAGCAATCTATATTAAAATGGAAGCAATATACCTGGGATTATGGTGAGTAGGGCCAGAGGCCCTAAGAAAACTACCCTTTAGTCCATGTTCACTGATGGCTCAGATCCCTGTGGCCTTCAGCACAATTGTACAAGACTGTCTTTCACAGTTCACACCTATGGTCACATGTCGAGGAGAAGGAACCAGACAGAGGGGAGGAAGTGTTGAGGTACATTCATGGATGAGTTGGTCTGGTCTGGGTGTGCAGGTCACAAATGAGCTGTAACCAAACAGTAGCCTCATTCTGGGCCAATAAGAAAGAGAAGTGATGGGATCTCCTAAAGGAAAAAGCTCTGAGCAGTGAACATAGTCATCCTTGGCATCATGTTACATACTTTGTACAGAAAATAAGAAGTCCAGTTTATTGCGCATAAGGCCTCAAAGCTGTTTACTCTGGAACCTGAAGGAAAAAAAATAATTAGATGGTACAAGGAAGTTTAGAACAAAGGAATTTGGACAGATTAATGCATGGGTAAGATCTTTGTGTCACATAATGTCACTTAAAGATAGCATTTGTTACAGAAGAGGCTCTCAACAAAATAAAAAGAATGATTCATAAACTCTTAGAAATACAGAATACCATGATGGTTGCTAAGGCTGGAGGTCGGGGGATGGGGGAAAGGAGGAATGTTGGCCAAAGGGTGTAAACTTTTGGTTATGAGATAAGTAAATTCTGAGGTTCAAATGCAATGTGTGGTAACTATGGTTAGTAATAGTGTATCATATATTTGAAATTTTCTGAGAAAGTATATCTTAAATGGTCTCAAAACCACACACCCACAAGAGATTATGATGTGAAGTGATGAATGTGTTAATAAATGTAATTGTGATAATTATTCCACAATGTAGACATATATCAAATCATCACAGTGTACAATTAAATATATTAAATTTTATTTCAGTCATTCCTCAATAAAGCTGAAAAAAAAGAATGAATGAGTCAGTTGACTGATGAGAGGAATGGAGGATCTGAATGAGATCAAGAGCCTCTGCTCACCCTCATGGAACACTATCTAGCTGCTGCCACTATCAAACATCCAAGTCTCCAGGAATAAAGACCAAATCTGAGTTTTTTATGTGGTATCATATTTCAAGGAGAACAATTTTGGTGGCAAATTGACAATAATGGGCCCCATGAAAGGGCAACAATTTATCTTCAGCTAAATCAACATGAATTTTAAGTATGAACTTGCCTTTCCTAGAAGACCCTGCCAGCACCATCAACTGAGGATGTATAGAGTCTGATCTCCAACAAAGGACCCCATATAACATCATATTGATCCAAACGATACTGTACAGAAAACAAATATGGCAGTGGGCACATGTCACTGCATCCATTGAACATTTTTGCATAATGCTCCTCTCAGTTGTCCTGATAGAATATGGAAGAATGCAGTCAGGGGCCAGCTTAGAGCTGATAAATAATGAGGATGGGACCTTATCCTTCACGATGCAGTATATAACCAAAATAAACAACCATAATACTGAACTCTGTCTTTAATACATAGAACAAGAACCAAGGAATGGAAACAGGAGTGATCTTACTACCATCACTCCCACTGACTTGGGGGAATTTGTGCTTCCCATACCTGGGAAGTGCTTTCACTAGCATTATATAATACTAAATTTCAGTGGTACCTGGTCATCTTGGGCTCCTCGTATCAAGAGAACAATAGAAAGAGAGGAAGGAAGAAAGAAAGGGAGAAAGAAAGAGAAAAGAGATAGAGGGAAAGAAGAAAAGAAAAGAAAAGCAGAGATAGTTAACCCTGATCATCAGAAATATGAAGAGATACTATTATAAATTGAGGACAGGAAAGAATATATTTGGTATTCATGGGATCCATCTGGGTGTCTCTTGATACTCCCTCACTGATTTCGATGGTAAATTAAGAAATGAAGTAGCCGTGAACTGAGAAAGTCATGGTAACCATGAGGTCAGATATCTAAAAGATGAAAATCTGTGTTATAGCCACAAGGTAAGTCACCTAGCTCAGAACATATGTTAACCAAGGGAATTAACGGATGCTAGAGGATGGGAGATGACGAGTGTCAGTTGCAGCCTCAAGATCAGCTACAGCAGTAGTTGCTGTAGCTCCCCTCCTCATGTTCTTTTAAGGTTATCCAGAATTATGATGGAGCTTTTTTTTTTCTCCCTTTAAGTTAAGCAATACCAAGAGTGAACTGTATTGAATACTATTGAATACTATTGAAACATGTTTCACTATCCATGTTTTCCTTCTCCACTAAACAGCTCAGAACTTCAACTATTGATACTACCCTCAGATGAAGAGAGTCTCCTTACCCAAGACCTCCTTACCCAGAACCAATCCTCGTACAATGACTAGTTAATTCTGGTAATTATTTTTTATTTCTTTCTATTCTATTGGTTAACTCTAAAGACTATTGGTTCCAGAGTTCTTCACAAATGGATTGAGGTATTTGCTATCACTCTATCATACCTCTTACATTCGCATGGTTTTCCCCAACAAAGTTCCTGCACACAAGTCTCCATTTCAAAGTTTCTTTCTCTGGGATCCCAACCTACACCATAGAATTAGATATGATTATTATTAATTATTAGTAGTAGTGGGTACTTATCTTGTGTTAATATAATTAAACCTCTCCAAGATAAACTGTGAGTTCAGTATTGAAGTAAAACCTGTAAAGTTGAGGAAGCCAAAGCTTAGAAAAATTTAATACTTTACTTGATATGACATACTGTCTTAACTATTATTCAGTCAAGATTTGAGCCAGATCAGTCAACTTGTCAAGCCTGTGAAGCACAGTGAACAAATATTGCTATCAGTAGCAAACATGAGCAAAGATTAGATGATTGATAGGTAGGTAGATACATGATAGATAGATAGATAGATAGATAGATAGATGATAGGTAGATGATAGATAGATAGATAGATAGATAGATAGATAGATAGATAGATAGGTCGCTCATAAAGAGAAGTCCATCGAGGATAGTAGCTGAGTGGTCCGGGGTCATGAGGAGTGTTAGAGAGAAACAAGTCTGAAAAAGACAGAAGAGTTCAAATTGGGATAAGACATGAATTCCATAGCAGACATGGACTTACCACGAAATTGAGTTGAACTAGTGCTGAAGAATTCTCCACTATTCTCTTATCCCAAAAAAGGAAATACAGAATGGCTTCTTGACAAGGCAAGAGCTAATGGGAACGTTACATTTGCCCCCTTAATTCTGTAATGTCTTCGCTACATATGAGAGATGGCAGGGCATAGAGGGAGAAGTGTATGCAATAGCACAGGAAGAAATCCCACACCCTCCTCCCCAGGGTGCATGGGGCGAAGGTGCCAGGCGTGGAATGCTGCACTCCTACCTCCCATGTTTATTCAGGCCTGGGGCTAAGGTTTGCCTTGGAGTTGTAACCTTTATAAGGGGTTTGCTTAATGACAGAATTATTCAGCTGCATACCTCACCCCAATTAGAAAAAGGCTGTTTGGATTCTAATTGGCCTTGACACAAGTCTGCTTAAAGAGATTCCCCAAGAATTATAGAGCTACTTTCAGAGTTTGACTTGGCTGGGAATATGAAATGTAACACGGTTTTTCGAAATTTCTGCACTTACCATGAAACGACCAAGCCACAGGTATCAAACATGCTTTGTTTTTGTGTTATAATCACATTACAAATTGAACATTTCCACATGTGCAAGTTGGCAAATCTAAAATGAATGATTATGAAGATTGTAACTACATATATCAGGTATATATGGCCTACATATTTTCACTCACACAAAAGTATATTTTCTTGAGTCCCTAGACATCCATGTAGAGTGTGTTTATAGGATGTAAAGCCATCATCCTATGCATAAACCAAAAATGTGTATTATTAAACAGTTATTGCCAGGCCAGGTGATAAGTCGACATAATATTTGGAAGGTGTAAATACCAGGAAGGGATAGAGATTCCGAAGCTAACCATGAGGAAATGACTAATAATAATAGGTTGAAATCAAGAAGAATATAAGTTGGACTAAATATCAAAAGGAGAAAAAATAAGTCTCCTGGCTACAATAACTGTTAGGCTATGAAATAATTCCTAAAGGAAGTGGAGATCTCTTCCCTAACAGGACTTTGGAAATGAGGCATGCATTCTTGGAGACCCTTATGACAAGCAATTTTACTTAGGGAATGGAAGGAGATCTTTTCCAGTTATATTTTCTCTGACTTGATATGAAAGGAAAATCTCAAAAATAATTATGTAATTACCCACTAAATGTTCACCAAACCACCTTTGAGTGTGATCCTGCATTTACCTTGTAGTGAACATTTTGTCTCCTATTCCTCCACAGCCAGGAAAAATCCCACAATCACACAATTAGTCGCAACCACTTTTTTTTTTTTTTTACTCCAAACTCAGTTTGATCCTAAAGGCCATGTAGTGGACTTCCACTCATCTCTGAGCACCTCTCCTGCCACTGAAAAGGAGATTTTTTTTTTCCTAAGAAATGCAATTCCCTGCATTTGTCACAATCACTCTCCTCATTCCCCAACCCCAACTGCTTTCTCTCACCAGACAGTTTCGTAGTTTACAGAGAAGTGAAATATAAACTTCTGAGAATACTAAACTCCTGCTCCATTTACAAATTGATCCATAATTTCCCTTCTTCCCTATGGAAGCCTATCCCCTCTGTGAAAAAAAAAAAAGGCGTGAAAAAGATACCCCCTCAAGCATGAAAAGATATATTTCATCCTCAATTTTTTAGGGGTTTTTCCTCCAATCCGCTCTCTAGAAGTCAAAATACACTACTTCAGTGAGCACAACCTAAAGATCAAGGAGGAGCCTAGGGTGGAGGCTGACAGAGTATAATAGTCAGCTTTTCATTGTTGTGACCAAATTACCTGACAAGAACAACTTAGAGGAGGAAAATCTATTTTAACTCTGAGTTTCAGAGGTCTTAGTCCTCAGTCGGTGGGTTTCAAGGCAGAAACATCATGGTGGAGGGACATAACAGAAGAAAGCCTCTCAGCACATGGCATCCAGACAGCAGAGAGAGAGAGAGAAAGAGCGTAGAACCCAGGGACAAGTTATAGTCCTCAAGGGCATACCCCCAGTGACCTACTTCCTCTAGCAATGCCCTGCCTGCCTATGATTACCACCCAGTAGTTCACTCACCTATCAATGGATTAATCCAGCAAATGGATTAATCCACTGGTGAGGTCAGAGCCTTAATCATTGCCTCAAAGCCCCACCTCTGAATCTTGCTTCACTGGGGAATCATGCTTTCAAAACATGAGATTTTTAGGGAGACATTCTATAAATAAACCATAACAGGGAAACAGGTGTGGATGGATCTTGAACCTGTAACCTAGCTTGTCACACACATATGTCAGCAGAGCTCCTCTTGGCAGAGAGTTTACAGAAATGGGAAGAAAACATAGGTGGCTCCAAGGGGTGTTGTAGGGGCTTGAAGTTAATCTATCCAGTTACCATATACTAGAGAAGAACTCTGAGAAATCCATAAGTTTGCAACTCAAGTCTATTCTGCCACATGGTTGTTGGGGTATTTTTATCAGGTTAGGGGGTGCTATGGTTTGACTGTGTCCACCCCAGAAGGATAGACTGGAAACTTATTCCCAATACAACAGTACTGAGAGATGGGGCCCAATGGGAGATGATTAAGCCATGAAGATTCTGCCTTCATGAATGAATTAACGCCATTATCTCAGTAATAGATTCTTTTACTTTGGACTGGGTTTCTTCTAAAAGGACATGTTTTCCAGGTGTGGTGGCACATGCCTGTAATACCATTGACAGGATGCCGAGGCAGGGGGATCGCAATTTAGCAAGGCCCTCAGCAATTTAGCAAGGCCTCAACATCAGCAATTTAGCAAGGCCCTCAACAATTTGGTGAGACACTGACTCAAAATAAAAATTTAAAAGGGTTAGGCATGTAGCACAGTGGTAAAGCACCCCTGGTTTCAATCTCTAACAAATAATAAAATTAAAAGAATTAGTCTGGTAGCCTTTCTCTCTTTTCCCTTCTCTTTGCCCTTATTCTATGAAATGATGCAGCAAGAAGGCTCTCACCCCTGTCTTGTACTTCCCAGTCTCCAGGCCTAAAGTCAACACATCTGTGTGACCATGACCAGACTGAGAAATAGAACATAATCGACACTAACAATTTCTTTTAATGACATCTATGTCATTACTCTTCCCTCCTATGCCAAAGTAACCACTATCCTCATTCCTATTTTACATTAGTATTGCCTTTTTCAAATACATAAACTGAAAAACACAGTGTGCATTCTTTTGCATCTAAGATCTTGCGCTTTCAAATGTGTTGGCGAGATTTATCCATTTTGTTGCATTTAATTGCAGTTATTAATTGTTTTTGGAGTTACAGTTTTTCATTACTTCTTTTAAGTTACATATGACAGACAGTCAATTTTGACATATTTATCCAAAGGAGGATATCTTATTCTAATTAGGATCCCATTCTTACGGATGTACCTGATGTGGAGATTCATTGTGGTGTGTTCATATATGTACATAGGAAACTTATGTCAGTTTCATTCCATTGTCTTTCCTATTCCTATCCTCCCTCCCTCTTCCCTTCATTACACTTTGTCTAATCCACTGAACATCTATTCTTCCCCTCCCCCATACCTTGTTGTGTGTAAGCATCCCCATATCAGAGAGAACATTCAACCTTTGGTTTTGGGGGATTGGCTTATTTCCCTTAGTATGATAGTCTCCAGATCTATCCACTTACTGGCAAATGGCATAAAGTCATTCTTATTTATGGCTTAGTAATATTTCTTCACACACACACACACACACACACACACACACACACACACATATATATATATATATATATATATATATATATATATATCATATTATCTTTATCTTTATTTCTATTGAAGAATACCTAGGCTGGTTCCATAGTTTAGCTGTTGTGAATTATGTTTCAATATATATTGATGTGACTGTGTCACTGTAATATGCTGATTTTAACTCCTTTAGTTATATAATGAGAAGTAGTATAACCCAGTCAAATGGTGTTTTCATTCTTATTTTTTTGAGAAATCTCCATACTGCTTTCTAGAGTGGTTACACCAATTTGCAGTCCTACCAGCAATATGAGTCTACCCTTTTCCTCACAGCCTTATCAGTCTTTATTGTTACTTGTATTCTTTATTTTTTCAAATTCTCTTTTTTAAAATATTTTTTTAGTTGTAGATGGACACAATACCTTTTATTTTATTTATTTAAATTTATGTGGTGCTGAGAATGGAACCCAGGGTTTCACACGTGCTAGGCGAGCAATCCACCACTGAGCCATGACCCCAGCCCTTTACTCTTGATTGTTGCCATT